GGCCCCCCCCCCCCCCCCCCGAGCATTATACACCTTTTTAACAACTGTGGCCAGGTGGTTTGTAGCGCTACGAATATTTTACCAATTGCAAACTTCCGCCAAAACATCAGATACCGGTTTCCTCTAAAAAAATGAAACCTCAGGACTGAATGCAGAAACCGTTGGATATTGATGCCAAAGAAACCCAATTGTTGATATCATATCGGTGTAAAAGACACATCAGAAAAATTAGAATTAAGTATGATTGTTTTGCCGTGTTTTAGAACGTGAACAATAAAATTATACCAAAACGAATCAGAAATAGGTTTTCCGGGATGTGGGATTTCCCTTATTTGAAGCTCCAGATTCGGGATTTTAAAGCAAAACGAGGGCGAGATTCGAGATTGAAAGAATGCGGGGATACGGGATTTCGAAAATAACTATCGGGATTACGGGATTGCGCGAAATTAGGTTCGAGATTACGGGACTGAATAACCCGATTGGGGAGCCTCATAAATGTATTTGATATTTTGTATGTCAACAATGATTTTTTTTTTAATTTTCAGCGATCGCGCGGTTTCGGGTCACGTGGTCCGAGCGTCTTGGATACGTCACCGAAATGCACTGACCGAGAAGGCTTGAAAAAAAAGGGATACGGGGAACAGGCCAATGATTCATTGTAATTGATGATAGGCACACCATTAGATTGTTATAAACCATGGGCGCTTTCCATTAAACAAAAAATTCCGGTTTCAAATTTCGGAAGTTCCACGTGCCCATTGGAACGGTACATTCAGGTTGCATAGGCCCGACCCAAGCCACCGCAAGTTTGGTTATCGTTCATGTAAGCAGAAAGCAAAAGAGCGGTACTGGACGCATCAATTAAGGGACATTTCGGTCCGACCCAACCGAAATTAGCGAACCTTCAATGGTGATCCCAAATATTCCGGTCGGACCTAACCGAAATGGTCCGTTCCCGGCATTTGATTTCTAACCGAAATTTTCAGAATTTTACGCTGAATGGAAGAGTCCCATTTGTACTCCAATAACAGCAATTCTCACACTATATAAGCTGACTTTATTTGTATCATTTTTACTAATAAAGTTAACACGTGCTACACGCATCGTATCGATTGCGGGCTCAGAACTCGGAATCGGGACGTTTTTCGACCCAAGTCTTTATTTCAGGCACGGCCAATACCCGGTTGATATATGCAACCAACAGAGGATACTTGCCGATTATCTCATCGATATCTGGCGTAGGGTTACCTTTAGCTTTCTGGTTGTCTATGCTAACTTTTACCCCGTTAACGAATGCAGCGAACGAAATGTCGGCATAAGTGAGCTGGAGAGGAAGAAAGAGGGAACAAAGAAACGCTTAGTACAGAGCTGAGGCTTTTTAATTTGTCTGAACAACTTTGAAAGTGTTATCAAGGTTTAATGATATCTAACGTAAAAATAATAGGCGCCCACTCTCTAATATTCGCCTCTTATCTAATAAACACACCTCCAACGCATTTAAGTTTTATTAAATGCCCCTCTCTCTTTTTTAGACAGGGGGATTTATTTGAGAGTGGCCCTTTATTTTCTCAGATCATTTACGGTAATTCATTCAGTCTCAATTTATGAACAAAAAAAATAGGATTGTGGTCGGGCAGGAATTAAACTCCGATAACATAAACGGCAGCACTGTTTTTTTTTTCCGTCTTTGATATTTGCCGGGTTTCATAACCAGTTTTCTCCACTAATTGTGTTGTCATGAAGGGGGATGGGTAAGGTTTGAGGTCAGTAGGGTCGGTCCGGCACCAGAATCCAACTGCCGAATTCTCGGCACGGCTCTGAGTTAAGGTAACTTATTTATCCTGTTTGTTTACCTTGTCTCCAAAAAAGAAGCTCTTGCCTTCTTCTCGGCTTTTGAGAATAGCTTCAAATTTGCCAAGCCGCTCAGGAAGAGTAGTCAAGAAAAACTTCGTCATTAGCTCCTTCTAAAATAGAGATATCGGAAAATACAATCAGACATTCTTAGAAAAATAACGAAAGGCGGTCGCACCTTTGTCGTCGTTGTTGTTGTTGTTGTTGTTGTTGTTGTGAGTTTCCACATACACAGCGTGCTCGCCGAATAACACGTGATAGCAGATTGGGAAACAACCAATTAACTTTCTTCTTTTTTTGGATGGCCTATCCCGTCAGAAGTTAAAATGATCAAAGCCTTACGATAGAGTCGGTTAACTAAATAAAAAACAATTTTCTTTTTAATTTTTCGATAATGTTATTGTTTCTTAAAAAGAATGGACGATTGTCGATAGAGAGGTTCCCAAATAGGGCTCTTCAATCCCGTAAACCCGTACCAAATTTCACGCAATCCAATAGTCCCGATAGTTATTTTCAACATCCCGCATCCAGCTGTGTATAGAGAGGTGACAGAGGTTAAGCATCACGTTTACTTCAAACAGCAAACGTGAATTTGTACCACGTGACTAAGTTACTGTTCATTATTTCTACACATAAATTACTAGTTTCACGCAATTTTTTATCCATAAGAATTGTTTTGAGCTGTTTCAATCTGCTGATTTTCTATTTTGAGAAATCCTCAACTTGAATCTGACGTTTGCCGTTTGCCGTATGCGTATACTTAAACTCTCTAATAATTTCAATCCAGAATCTCACCCTCGTTTTGCTTTAAAATTCCGAATGCCGAAAACCATACNTGTTTGTTTACCTTGTCTCCAAAAAAGAAGCTCTTGCCTTCTTCTCGGCTTTTGAGAATAGCTTCAAATTTGCCAAGCCGCTCAGGAAGAGTAGTCAAGAAAAACTTCGTCATTAGCTCCTTCTAAAATAGGAAAATACAATCAGACATTCTTAGAAAAAATAACGAAAGGCGGTCAAACCTTTGTCGTTACTTTGTTGTTGTTGTGAGTTTCCACATACACGACGTACTCGCCGAATAACACGTGATAGCAGATTGGAAAACAACCAATTAACTTTCTTCTTTTTTTGGATGGCCTATCCCGTCAGAAGTTGAAATGATCAAAGCCTTACGATAGAGTCGGTTAACTAAACAAAAACAAGTTTCTTTTTAATTTTTCGATAATGTTATTGTTTCTTAATAAGAATGGACGATTGTCGATAGAGAGATTCCGAAATAGGATTCTTCAATCCCGTAAACCCGTACCAAATTTCACGCAATCCAACAATCCCGCATACTGCGTATAGAGAGGTCAAACGGCAAACGCGAATTTGTACCACGTGACTAAGTCACTGTTCGTTATTTCTACACATAAATTAGTAGTTTCACGCAATTTTTTATCCATAAGAATTGCTTTGAGCTGTTTTTATCTGCTGATTTTCTCTTTTGAGAAATCCTCAACTTGAATCTGACGTTTGCCGTTTGCTGTATGTGTGAAGCTTAAACTCTCTGTTAATTTCAATCTAGAATCTCACCCTCGTTTTGCTTTAAAAGTCCGAATGCCGAAAACCCTACTGGACACCCTCGATAGAAGCTTCTTTTCCAACTACTAGTCTCGGTGTAGCTTGCACCGCAGACGAAACTAAACTCTGGTTAACTTCGTCTGCTAAGTAGTGCGCGTGCGTAAACCAGCTTCATTTTGGCGGGAAAACGTGATTGACGTCGTCATTCTACTACGAGTTTTAGCAAGAATGTCCTGGCAGCGGAAACGAGTCATAAAGTGTTGGAGGTCTTATCATTTTGCGGTTGAGAGATAACTTAGCCTCCCTATCAATAAAGAAAAAAAAAATCCTTATTTTTTGGTGAAAAAGAAGTGCAATGAGGCTTTCCGGGGGATCTATTATTTGAGAATACGCGAAAAAACTTTAAACCAAATCTCGTACTCGTAGTCGTTCTCGTCCTAGAATCTAACGGTCTCTATTGTCAATTTGCCAATCAGCACGAAAGGAAATTCGAAACTTACTTCCGGTAATTCGTTGAGTCTGTCGGGAGCCCAGAACAAGGATCGCGTCGCTGCTTCGCAGACGTTACTAACCGAGGTTAAATTACCTCTGCGAAGCAGGCTAGTCCCTTGCTCAACTTCAAAGTTCAGCCTCTTATCCTTTTATATACCTTTTTTCGACAGAAAAGGGAACCCTGTCTTAAACCTACTGACAAATGATACTCCTTACACATACCTAGTTTACAACTTTTCATCCCGGCCTTTAAAATACAAATGCACTTCTGTCTTTAAATATGAATAAATCACAAAACCAGGACGCTTTTTTCAACTTTTTCAGAACCATAAAATGCATCTTTAAACCGTTTTGAGCCCTTTTACAGACCGAAAATACAGATTTCCCTACCCTTTCATATACTTCAAATGGTAAAATCCCTACCATTTCACATTGCTGAAGCCTTAAAAAGGGTACCCCTTTCGGGTGGAGCCTCCCGGTACAGGCCATTATGGGGAGTATCCCACCCCCGCCCCCCGGATACTAGGGAGCTTCAGCATCGACGACGGCAACGGCAGCGAAAACGTCAGTTTTAAAATGAATTCCCGTTTTTTCAATCTTTGTCGCGTTTATTCCAAATTGCTGAAGATGGCAAGTGTAGGCGAATTTCCCTGGAGTTGATTTCTTGAGGACCGCACTCAAGTTTAGAGAGAGAAAAAGAGATTCGTCGTCGCTTGTTTACGTCCTCCATAAAACTTGCAATTAGTCATTTTCACGTCGTAGCCGTGAAAGGACGGTAAAGAAATGTACAAAAAAGCATGATGCACGTGCAGAGTTGTTGTTTTGTCAATCTAAACCTATTGATTTTTTGACGTCCTCGTTGCCGTCGCCATCGTCGTTACTAAAGCTCCCTACTATTAAAGCTGAAGAATCCTACCTTTTTTGTCTCATCTTTCTCAAAGTGTCCTTTGGCCAAATCATTTCGCAGATCATTAACACCATCATGGATCATATCAGCAAGTGCTTCGTCAAAACTGTCCGATGGACTCAAACCTGACAAGTAAAGTGGAACCTCGATATAACGCTGTCCTTGTTATAACCAACGATTTTCTTTACCCCAGTAATAGTAAAATATATGAAACAGAACCTTGATATAACGAAACCTCGGTATGGCGAACAAATTTTTGCCAGTCCCTTGGCCCTTTGTTATATCGAGGTTCCACTGTACATTCATACAAATCAGACATGAACCTTGTGTATATGGCCCAGCTCGCCATGAGTAATTCGGTGTACAGAAGGTTGTAGGTTCAATTCCTGTCGGGCGCTCAGACTTTTCTTTGTCCTGTGCCCGTGACATCGTGAACGTGATCACAGCATTTCTCATATCACAAATCGTTTGAAATCAGGGCTTGAAATAGCCCGCGCCAGGCTCTCAGATACTAGGGACGTGGTGAAAACAAGGTTATTGGAAACAGGACGCGCGGGATCTGGGAAGGCGGGGAGGGAGGTAGCAGGGGAGGCCATTTCACTAGCCTGTTCCAGAACGCTGCACTCTACTATCTGAACCGCTGGAACAGGCTACCCTTACACAAACGTAGTTAACAACATTTGATCCCTTTTGACTGCTGTAACAGCACTGTCTTAAAAATATGAATAAATCACAAAACCAGAACAGTTTCTCAATTTTTTCACAGCCATAAAATGCATCTCTAAGCCCTTTATTGACAGAAAGGAGAGATTCCGTATCCCTTTCATGTACACACTGTACTACAAGGAGTGAAATCCCTGAGACCTTTCATATACCTGAGGCCTGAAAAAGGTGTCCCTTTTGGGCAGAGCCTCCCAATATAGGCTATTGTAAGAAGTATCCCCCGAGCTAGCCTAGTGCTCGAATTCAAAGAATTTTGCTCATTGTCACTCATTGGTTCAAAAATTAATTCTGCTACAGGGACACCAGTTTTACTTCTGTGGGACATTATCAAGACCCACCTTTACCACTCCAAACAACAATGCAAAGTGAATATAGTGGAACCTCTCCTTTGGGACACCTCTTTTCATGGGACACCTCCATTCAGGGGACACAAAATTTGGTCTCGGAAAAAATGTTCTCATATTAATCTTTGTATCTGTTACTCCTGATGCGAAGGAACACTTCTGTTCAGGGGAAAGGGACACCTTTCCCGGGTCCCCAAACCTAGGATTAACCTCAATTTAGGTACAGGGGAACCCCGCCTTATGGCCACCTCATTACCATGGCCAGTTTTTTTCGGCCTAGCAAAACAGCCATACATTACCCCGTGAATACAGCCAATGGCCACGTTTTAAAATCCCAAACAGTACAGTCCACTTCCGTTAATTCGAAATAGAAAAAATTTCAAGTTATTGAGAGTTCGAGTTATCAAGGGTAAAATTGTATAGAAAATGATCTGAAGGGAAATGAAAATTGCTTCGAGTTAGAGGGAGGTTCGAGTTATAGAGGGTTCGAGTTACCGGGAGTCGACTGTAGAATCTCTTAAAATTTCACCCCATTAAAACAGCCACTCGTTCGAAATTTGGAAAATTGACATGTCAGTTTTATTGACCTAGTAATCTGAGCTTATTCTTGTACTGTTTTTAGACTACAGTACACTTAAAATGCACTTGTGGAGATTTATAGCCAAACTTTAAAAAAGTCTCATGCACTGAAGGAAAATTTTACGTTATTTTTTTTCAATTACTGTAATCCATATCTACATTCTGGTTGTTAATTATTAATGAGAACAGCACGGTGAATGCAACGTGCGGTGTATTTGTCATTACGGCCCTCAAGTCATGAAATTTGATCCTGCCCCAGTAATATGGCCACCCTGTTAATACAGCCAAGTTGTTTTGGCCCATTGGTGACTGTATCAACGGGGTTCCACTGTATTTTAAGTGTTGTATGGCCTTTCTCTCTTTTTTTAAGTGGTCCACTGGTGGGAAATCAACACACAGCTGGTGATCATGACTTTTTATACATTGTTCAGCTGTTTACAATAAAGACTGCAGCATTAATTCCAAGGCAGAATGAAAAAAAAAACAACTGATTTTCTTAGTTGGTTCATTATTAACAAATTTCAGCCCTACCTATATTTAGGGACACTTACCACAGCTCTGAGAGTGTTCCCTGAATAGAGGTTCCACTGTATATCAAGCTCTATTTGACCCATTTAGTCAAACTCCTACCAATTAGCCCTTACACATGAGTTGTAACTTCCCTTAATAACTGTTAAAATTAGTTTCCATACGGAATGTAATTTTGTTTACCTCCTTTCTTGCAGATGTATTTCATAATTGCACCAGACTGTCCCAGGATTTTTCCTTCAGGAGTAATGAGAAATGGCATCTGACCGAGTGGTGATCTGCCAGCTAAAATTAACAAGATAAAAAAAGTTTATTCCTTTGAAAATATACAGTGCAACCCCGTTAATATGGTCACCAATGGGTCAAAAAAATTTGGTTGCATTAATGGGTGCCTGTATTATCGGCGCAGGCTCCAAAATTGGGTCGATGATCGCAAGTGAGACCTCTCGCCTGGGGCTATGCCATGCCGATGAGTCCTAATGAGGATGAAACAGCTGTCAATAGCTACCACTAGTAGGGTGATGTGATATGTTGTACACATGCGTTAGGTACTGGCCATCCTACGGAGTTGGTATGGTGCTTCAGTGCTTTTAAAAATTGGTATGGTTTTTGAAGGTCTTAAATAGGGTATCATTTTGCCTATCTCAGGTAAAGTGCTCCCGCGGTTTTCCTTAGATTGGGTACCTAAATAATATTGTACGAGATAAATGTGCAATATTTTATGCCTAGCTACATGAGAAACAAATTATCTGTTAAACCTGAGCTATTCCTGAGAGTACTGGTATAATAGGAAAGCAATTTACTAAAGTTTTGTGACTGTTGTTATTAAAATACAGTGGAACCTCGATTTAACTGAAGGGCCAAGGGACTGGAAAAATTTATTCACTATAAACAAGGTTTTGTTATATCGAGGTTCTTTTTCATGGATTTTACCATTACTGGGGTAAATAAAATCATTTGTTATACCGAGGACTTTGTTAGAGGTTTCACATATACTGTAATTTTTTTTTTTTCCTTTTGAATTGGATATCATTTTTGGGGGTTACGGCTTTAAATAGGGCATCAGTTTTTGCTTGTCTCACTCTCAAAAAGTGTTAGGGTAAGACCCAGGGTGGCACACACCTATCCAAAAATTCTGGGAGTACCCCCACCACCCACCCCGGGGTTCTCGCCCAGCTATATATACATAGGTGTTATCTCCCGAAGAGCAGATAGAAACAAGAAAAGCTCCTTAATAAAGTTGTTTTGTTGGAGGCTAATTCATAATCTGCTCCTAACCTTTTACTTTTAATATACACGCTTTGTCCTTTACTCATATTCTTCTCTCTTAAAAAATAAAGCATCGTGTCAGCTTTAATATAATGGGGATTGTAGTCGAACGAAAGTGTATAGAAGTCTATGCTGTGCAAGTGATTAATGTTGCATACAAACGACTGGAGTGTTTGTTTCAACCTCCATAAACCCTGACTAACTTACTTCTAATTTTCGTAACTTACATGCTTTTTCCTTGGCCCATTCTTCGACGCTCAATCGAACATCTTCGAAATCAATTTTAGTAACTGCAAAAGCCCATCTGGCCATTTCTGCTCTACCACGGCCTGGGAAATAGTAAAGCTGGTAACCAGTAGACATCTTCTTTTTCTTTTTACTTTTGTACACCTCAAGTGGAACACTGCTTAGCCTGTCGAAAACTTGAGCTACATCTTCCCCGAACTATAATGTTTGGTTTGAAAATGACAAGCTCATACCCAGGCCCCGAGGTAACCAGGCCCCGACAGTAACCGCTTCACTCGAGTCACGCAACTCTCCCGGATTAGCCTGGAGGCCACAGGTGACCCAAGCTCGAAATATGAGCATCGGCGAACGACGACATTGTGTTTAAGAAAAAACCTGTCGTTTCTGTAACGTACGAAAATGAAAGGATTTCAATAAACAATAGCTTACCTTACTTAAAATGTGTGTTACGTCTCTCCTGTGTTGTCCACGGGCCGATTTATGACCGTTTTATGGGTTTTCATGTAAACGGTTTCCTCCAGTCTGGGTTTTCTCTCTATATAAAGGTAAACCTTAGTTAGATCCTTCCTCTTCCCGACTTATCTAGAAAGATCGAAGGGCCTCTGCTCGCAGGGTAAGGTTTACCTTACCCTTTATTGTACCTTTATATAGATGGTTTTCACAGTGACGTCATCAAATTGTAAAGTCAAAATAGCGAGGTTTTACGAATTCTTATTTACACTGGGTTGAAGATAAACAAAAAGTAAATCTTCGAACAAGTTTCCATTCCCGTAGCACGTTTCATTTCGAAAATACAGCAATTGGAACTTCCGTGTTTTCACAGTGCGTGACACCAAAAGAGGAATGTTACGGTCTCGTTGAAAAAAAGTCTCTCCTCTTTATTTTCAGCAGTATAACCGTTTCAAGTATTAGAAGATATGTTTCTGCACACGTATGCTAGTTCTCGAGTGAAAAGAAAGAACTTTTATAGAAAAAGTGAACTCCAGATGTTTTTGTTGATTTCCGGCGGCCATATTGGTGGACCAAAACGGTACACCAATATGGCGTCTCCATACAAAGCTCTACAAAGATGGGTGAAAAGTTTCGGCAAATAACTCAGAAACTGTGGGCCACAAAGACCTGAGGCTGGGACAAATTGTTTATATATTAGTCTTTTATAACATTTCGTTTTCTTGGCTTCTTCCACTGGACGGTTTCCAGTTTATTTTCTTGTTGCGTGACAGTGAAAACGATCTATAGAGAGAAAAAGGTTGGGAGACTCCAGTTTTGTGATCATATCTCCCGGTCTCCAGATTAGAGTCTGAAAGCTCAAGGTTAATCACCGAAGTTTGTCATTTCTTATAGACTTAACCTTCCGACAATAAAATTTCAAATATTTTGCATTAATATAACAGGGTGGCAAAGCGGTTCTATCATTCCTTCCCTGTCAATTCTCAATATTTTAAAAAGACTTGGGGGGTTGACAGACATGTTAATTGGGGAAATTTTAACTATAATTGCAACTGTATTGCAAGAGGCCACATGGATATTAAGATAGTTCTACGATAGTATAGGTACTATTGCAATTGTATTAGGATAGTTTTCAGCAATGATCTGTTTTTACTTCATGCCTCTTATACTTTAAGAGATGATGAAGACAAGCAGTGGTCATATAATACTGGTACTATGCTGTTCAAAAATCAAGACGCTAAAACATCCTAGGAGCAGCAGGCCGGTAGATTGTTTTTAGTTTCTTTTTTTACGGTTATTGTCACCTTAAGAATCAAAGATGGGTTGAAAAGGTGCCTTTATTTTCAAAAGAAGTCAAAATGTTAGAAGTATAGAAACTATCGATAGTTTGCTACACTATCGCGATTGTTATCGATGTTTCATTTTTGCTATCGATCCATCGCTATCGCAGCGTTAATATCGTGATTTTGTCGATAGTTCAATGATATTCCCTAGTCCCTAGGCGTCATTATTTCGCGCGTCAAAAGCGTTTCGGGTCGATAAACCCTGGACCATTTCCAATATATCTTCATTCTATCACGTCTTAACTTCCTGCAATAACCACTTGAAGGAAAAGTATTGAGTACTCCTGGCGAAAAAGTCTCATATTTGACCATGGAAGGAAGGAAGGAAGGATATTCACACCACAGAGTCTCATACTTGAAAAATAAAATGACGCAATATATGTCTCTAAAATTGGCCCTGGGAGAAAGGGAATGGAATGATTCACGCAATTTTCGCAAATCGGCGAGCATTGATGTCCAACCTTATGAAGACGTTTATATGGAAACTGAACGCTATTCTTTTAGACATTATGATGATTTATCTCCTAGGAAGAGATTCAAGAACGAACATTCTTGAATACTATTATTACCATAGGGTTGTTGACACACGGAACTCGCTGCCACGGAACACATCTGTAGGGCAACAAGTGTAAATTCTTGTAAAGTAGAAGTTAAGACATTTTTTATCGATGAGAACATACTTTGTTTGTTTTTTGTGCAGTGTTTATCTATTCCTGCTATTCTTCCATTATTATTATTTATCAACAATTTACTAATGAATATTTGTATCATTTTTAGAGTTAAATTGTAGTTATTTTTCGAGTCATTTCTTTAACATGGGGTCGAGGACTCTGTTGCCTTTCATCCCTTAGCTTTTGTTTCTTCTTCCTTATTATTGTAAGCCATAAATTATTATAAATAAATTAATTAATTAATTAATAATATAAATAAATAGGTAATTTTCATTTTTATGGCCCTCTTGGAGGGAAAGTCACAAGAAGCACTTTTCATTTCCAAAACTTGGTCACTTGGCCAGTGGATTTAGGGTCACGTGGTCCGAGCGTCTCGGATACGTCACTGAAATGCACTGACTGAGAAGGCCAGGGAAGACGCGGTACAGGGACTAGGCCTGGCCAATTATCGATTGTAATTGATGATAGGCACATCATTAGATCGTTATAAACCATGGGTGCTTTCTATTCAACAAAAAATTCAGGTTTGAAATTTCGGAAATTTTACGTGCTCAATGGAACGGTATATTCTGGTTGCACAGATCCGACCGAAGCCACCGCGCGTTTGGTTATTGTTCTTGTAAGCAAGATACAAAAGAGCGGTGCTGGGGACATTTCGATCCGACCGACCGAAATGAGCGGACCGGTCAAAGTGCACCGCCTACAAAGGTGGGACGGAACCGAAATGGTCCGTTCCAATTATTAACCGAAATTTCCGGAAGTTTGGTCTGAATGGAAAGCGTCCCATTTTTCCTCCAATAACAACAATTTTCACATTATATAAGCTGACTTTATTTGTATCATTTTTACTTGTTATAATAAGTTAACAGGTGCTACATGTATCGTGTCGATTACGCGCTCAGAACTCGGAATCGGGACGTTTCTCGACCCAGGTCTTTATTTCGGGCACGGCCAACACACGGTTGATATATGCAACCAACAGAGGACACTTGCCGATTATCTCATCGACATCTGGCATGGGATTACCTTTAGCTTTCTGGTTGTCTATGCTAACCTTTAAGCCGTTAATGAAAGCAACGAACGAAATGTCGGCGTAGGTAAGCTGGAGAGGAAAAAAAGGGAACAAAGAAACGCTTAGTACAGAGCTGAGGCTTTTTAATTTGTTTGAACAACTTTGAAGGTGTCATCAAGGTTTAACGTTAAGTTCAAAGTAACCAACGCTCTTTGATCTTTTTGATCTCTTAGCTTTGCTCAGTATGTCTGCAATTTTCTTCTAGCACTTACAAAAGGCGCAGCAGTGTTAACGAGTGTCAAAAGACGGAAGGACTGGATTTTTGCCGAAAGCATATCGTATCAGTTTTGCCTAGTTCGTTACAGTTACAAGAATAAACGTACGGTAGTCTCTTTTAAACGCCTCCAAACTTTCTATTAAACGCACCCGCTTGGACCCTTAAAATAAAATGATATATTAGATTATTTACGGTATTTTCTTTTCTCAACGAAGTCCATAACTATGACACTAGATATGACACTTTTCAACTCAAGGCAACGAAAATGGTCTGTTTTTACAAGTTAGAATTGCTCAAATTAAAATTCTCTAATGACAAGTGATTTTTTACTATACCTTCTGTCTTCTCACTTTTACCATCATAGTAAATTAAGTGAAATGGTTTTGAAACCCAAATGAGTTTTTTGATATCTGTCTTTTTTTTTTAGCTGTCTTTGGACTTGACGGTGCACAAAGTTTAACAGCATTCCTATCATTTCATGATTCTATAGACCAATAAAAACGTCGCATGAAGGCTCGTCCAGCAGTCCGGGACAAGAAGATTTTCTTGCTAGACAACTTTTAAAAAACACTTGCCCAATGGGCAAAGGTCAGGCAAGTCATCGTCTAACAAAATCATTAACTAAGACGGGCAAGAAGTGGCCCTGGCGAAGCAAAATGTGAGAACTGCTTGCCCAAAGGACAAGCTGGAATAGACCTTTTTACCGAAACGGCGGCCATATTGAATCTATTAGATTTAAGGAGTATTATGGGATGCCCAGGGGGGCATGAGCACGATCCGATACACTCGCTCAGTATTTACGCGCGCTTTTCGGGCCAATTTTGCTTTAAGTTTTCCTAGAAAAAGATTGTAATCGGTAAACACAGATCGTTGTGCCGTGTTTGCATGTAATAAATTATCATGATCGCCTCTTTCCCGAGAAATATACATTAAAGTTCCCTTTTTGCCCGAAAAGCGCGCGTAAATACTGAGCAAGTGCGCCCCTGGGCATCCCATAATACTCCTTCAATCTAACAAATTCAATATGGCCGCCGTGTCGGTAAAAAGATCTATTCAAGCTTCTTTTTTCCGAGTCCTGATTAATTCATTCAGTCTCAATTTATGAACAAAAAACAAAGGATTGTAGACGGTCAGGAAGCTCCCAACACATAAGCTGCAGCATTTCGTCTTTGATATTTGCCGACTTTCACAATCAGTTTCCTTCACTAGGTTGCCATGAATGGGTTGTGATGGGGGATGGGTGACGGTTTGAGGTTTGTAGGGTGGGTCGGGCGCTAAAATTGAACTGCCACATTCTCGTCACGGTTCTGAGTTAAGGGTACTTATTTATCCTGTTTATTTACCTTGTCTCCAAAAAAGAAGCCCTTGCCTTCATCTCGGCTTTTGAGAATGGCCTCAAAATTGCCAAGCCGCTCAGGAAAAGTAGTCAAGAAAAACTTCGTCATTAGCTCTTTCTAAAATAGAGATACCGGTAAATATAAAATGACCCTATGTTATGACATTCTTAGGTAAGAAAAATAACAAGAGGCGGCCACAACTTCGTCGTAGGTTGGTGTTGTGACAATACACTGAAAAATGTGAGTTTTCGCATGCACGGTGTGAGCGGCGGGTAACACGTGATAGTAGATTAAGAACCAAATAATCTTTTTTCTTTTCTTTCTTCTTTTTGTGTTTTTTTTTTTTGATGGAATGGGGTGGGGGGCGTTTGCCGGCCTACCCTGTCAGAAGTTAAAATTGTCAACACCTTAAGCTAGAGTCGGTTAACTAAATAAAAAACTAGTTACTTTTAAGTTTCGACCATGTTATTGTGTCTTAGCAAGAATTGACGATTGTCCATAGAGAGGATCCCCAATAGGGTTCCCGTAATCTCGAACTTTATCTCGCTCAATCCCGTAATCCTAATGGATATTTTAGACATCCAGCATCCCGCGCGTATTTTCAATCCCGAACCTCGCCCTAGTTTTGCTTTAAAATCCCGAATCCCGGCTTTCATAAGAGGCAAATCCCGCTTGCCGAGAAAACCTATTAGCCATCAATCCTAGACAGAGGCTTTTTTTAAACTACTAGTCCCGGGGAAATGCTAATTAACTAAGTTCAACCCCTTACCCTTTCATCCACCATTTTTTCACAAAAAAGAGACCCCTTTCTACTCTTCTATTGACAAATGCATGGTACGGCCTTTCACATACCTGGTCTAGACTTTCGCATTCCGGCTATAGACCTTTGTCACGCGGCGGCCATTTTGTCTCAGGAGACGGCTAACCTTGTAGAGAGAACGAGGCTAGCCGTGCAGAAACAAAGCTTTTTAAATCTCCTGAGACAAAATGGCCGCCCCGTGACAAAGGTCTATTAACTGCTGTAAATGCACTGTCTTTCAAATATGAATCGTTGACTAAAAAACCAGAACGTTTTCTTGACTTTTTTCTCAGCCATGACTTGCATCTTTAAGCCCTTTCACAGACCGAAAATACAGATTTTCCTACCCTTTCATATACTTCAAAGGGTTAAATCCCTACCTTTTCAGATGGCTGCAGGAGCCCATAACCCGGAGCGAGCAACTTCCATACCAGGCCTATTTCCCGGAGTTTTTTACGCACCAGTTTATTTTTTAGACACATTTTAGGGCAGTTTTTCCCGCGAAAATAGAATCTCCATCATATCTATGAGCGTATTCGACGTATAAGATATAACAAGGAACACTAATTGTTATTCAAATGACACAAATATGATTTTTAGGTCTGTAGGTTTTGCTGACTGGTTTGAGGAAATTAAAAGATATTCAAAATTCGCGCCAAAACCGTTCTAAAAATAAACTGGTCTGTGAAAAAAAAACTTGACACAAGCGCATGGAAGTTGCTCGCCCCGGGTAATGGGTTTCTGATGGCTGAAGCCCCCAAAAATTACCCCTTTCGTGTGGAGCATCCCGCCCCGGGAATACTAGTCAAGCTCTAAAATCGTACCTTTTTTGTCTCATCTTTCTCATAGTGTCCTCTGCTCAAATCATTTCGCAAATCATCAACACCATCATGGATCATATCAGCAAGTGCTTCGTCAAAACTGTCCGATGGACACGCACCTGACAAGTACATTAGAAGTGGTTTGAAATTAAGTTTTAAAAACAAGAGCAACGTAGCAGGGACTTGTCGAGCATGGCCTTGTCTTGCCCAGTGCACGGATTTAAAGAATTCTGTTCGTTGTTTCTCATTGGTTCAAAAATTGATCCTGCTGCGGGGACACTTTGCATAACAGTACTCACAAACACTGAGACGATCATATCTTCAAATATGATTTGTATTTCCGCAGTTCACATAATCTTCATCATAGTACAGTCGACTGTCTCGAAGGCGGACACCTTTGGGACCGGTACTAGCTGTCCGTCTTAGAGAGTTGTCCTTCATTTAGAAAGTCAAATAGAGGGAGCAAAGAAAGGCAGGGACCAACTCTTGGTTTCCGTCTTATAGAGGTGTCCGTTAAGAGAGAGTCGACTGTACTCACAAACGTTCACCTATGAACTTGAACAATTAGTTAAAGGTCGTTCTAATCTCCCCAAGATATTCGTGCACGTATCAAATAGTATAAGCGCGCACATCCTGCGCAGCATTTGCTGTACGGGAGGGGAAGGAAGGGGGAGAGAAGGACAGTAATCGACCAATATTGGGGTATAGGTGAGCCACTGTGGGTTTGAAACCCTGACCCCGTTTAGGACAAAAAAAATCCTAAAATACATACCCTGTTCAGGACAAAGGACAAAATGCACGCCGTCTTGTTTTAAAGCCATTTATGAGCAATTGCAACAGATCAAATTCACGTTATAGTTATTGCCTTTGTTGACGAAATTCATCTAGGAATCGTTTTGGTCAGTGATTGGACTTTAACATGAAAATTCGTGAAATTTGTCCGCTAAAGATTTAAAGATTGTTTTTTTTTTCTTCTGTTTTGGCACGCAAAGCTGCGAATGGTAGACACACGTTAACGGTGGATTATAATTCATTGCGGAAATAATTGCGCGCAATGTAGCGCATATAGGAGGCTCTAAGGGTGACCATGATCTAAGAGAGACTCTTTCTTGAAGGATAATAAGCTGTTAGCAAATAAGCTGTTAGCAAAAATTCCTAACTTTAACATGGGAAGGAGGGTTTTACCAAGAGGTGCTATTATGATCTCTTGGTTATACACGGTCTTGAACAAATAAAATGAGAGGGTGGCTTAAAAGGGTATTTTTGTGGCTCATGATCGGCCCTATTTTTTGGTCGTGAAATGTTTAATGGCTATTTTTTTCTCGTGAATGGTGATTTTACAAAATTGTTTACTAACAGGCCTTGAGACGAGATTGTCATAATGTCTCTTATTTTATTCCCCTTTACTTGCTTACAGAGTAAATGTGATCAAGACCCCACCTTTACCACAATCAAACAGCAATGCAAAGTGTGTAAATCATGCTCCATTCTACCCAAGTAGTCACACCCCTTCCAGGGGCCTAGCTAGGTTTTCGACTTGTTGTAGGCCTGGCCGACTTTCATTTCCACATATCTTGAAAACTGCTGGCATGACCAGTACGCACTGACCTCACCAACACTTTGAGCTCTTAAGCTCTTAAGCTCATCCCAACAACCCTTAATTTATCACAAGCTGTAGAGTGATCAAGACAAAAATTTGTAGGCCTGGGCCTACAGGTCTATGGGCTGGCTATGCCCCTGCTTTCCAACAAAACCTTACACATGACTCCTAAATTTCCTTAACTGAATGAAATTAGTAACTGTAAGGAATGTTCTTTATTTACCTCCTTTCTTGCAGATGTATTTCATAATTGCACCAGACTGAGCAAGAATGCTTCCTTCAGGAGTCACAAGAAATGGCATCTGACCAAGAGGTGCTCTGCCAGCTAAAATCAATAGCAAAAAATTAATTGTTTCTGTTTTGCCAGCAAATTTGGGTTGAAAATAATTATGCACAGGCTATGGGTGCGAATCATTGAACTCCCCGATTGGGGGGGAGGGGGCGGGGGGAGGTGATCACCACATATTTATACAGAGAGGCCCCATCCCAAGGTGGGACCCCTACCCTTTTATACACCATTTTTGACAAAAAAGGTACCCATCCCTTTCTACTGCTGTAAATGCACTGCCTTTCAAATATGAATAAATCACAAAAACAGAAAGTTTGTTTTCTCAACTTTTCACAGCCTTGAAATGTATCTGTTGGCCCTTTTGGGCCTTTTAACTGTCCAAAGTGACAGATTTTCCTACCCTTTCATATACTTCAACTAGTGAAATCCCTACCCTTTCATATACCTGAAGCTTGAAAAAGGTACCCCTTTCGGGCGGAGCCTCCTCGTATAGGCCATTGTAGAGATTTTAACCAGACTTTGCTGATGTGGTAATTTTAGGGAATTGGACACAAATTCATACCAATCTTGTTCAATTCCTCTCAAGATAAATTTCAAGCCTAGATTCGATATAGTAGGCTTGGGTAAGTTAGACCACACACCCTAAACCAATTTTGGCTCTCAGAACGAAGGAACTGACAAATGGGATGAATCAATCAATCAGTCTCTTAATCAATCCATTATTAAACAAGAGGTTAAAAAAATAACGACAACACCAATAAATCTAAATGGCCCCCCACTAAGCTAGCTAAACTAAGAATTACAAAATTATATATACCTAGTTCAATGAACTAACGTCTGCTTTCATGGCAATTGGTCACTGGCGATTAATACTCTTTTTACACATACAGATTGTATTAGCCATGTTACCATCATCAGATCCTTTAAACCATTTGGGATACTGAGCAGGAAATCATTTCATGATACTATAATCTGTTAAAGTTCTACAGGAAGGGGTCATTGTCCCCATGCCAGAGGGCTGACCCTAGTGGATTTTCCAGGATCTGGGATTTGCATTATTTGAAGGCCCGGATTGGGGATTTTAAAGCAAAGTGGGGGTGAGATTCGGGATTAAGAGTATCCAGAAAATCCAGTAGATTCAAAAAGTATTTTGATCAGTACTGCTATGATTCTTGTTTTGAAACACTTTATTTGTTAGTTTGGTTGAAGGCCGGGCCTTCCTGAAACCCATTATGAAGTTGTATGATAATTAAGCTTATCGGGCCAGCGGAAGCTAACTGTACTTCAACAAACTAAAAAAAGAAAAAAGTACAATATACTGTCAGGTATCCAAAAGTATTAGAGCAATTAAAAAGGCCCCTGTAATGCTATTAAAATACCTTGTCAATACACTGGGATGATAATGATTAACTGTACACATGAGCGACCATAATAAATATATAGGGATCAAAATTCAATTGGAGGGGGCTGTATTCATTGTCATTTAACAATGACTATAGACTTGATCATTAGTAACCATTCAATATTTCTGAAAATTATTGTAGATTTCTTGGCTTTCAAGTCAACTTTATGATTCAAAAAAGACTAAATTAGGTATATTTTAAGTCATTTGGAATGAGGAGTATTGTGATATTTGACCTCGAGGAAATGGTGCATGAAGACTCAGAAAGCATGACAAAGCAGTCTGTTTCAGCTTAGAGCTCTTGAAACTAGCTATAAAAAATTCTTATAGCTAGTGATTTTTACTAAATCGTACTCATTTAAGGACCTGTTTATATGCAGTGAGCAAGCCCACTAAGCCAGGCTGGCCTGCTTTACCGGGCTGGCTCAGCTCACGCCTAATGTTTCCTTAAAAAAATTCGAATGAAATTTCTCTAATTGATTCTAATTTTTATACTTACACGCTTTTTCCTTATCCCATTCTTCGCCACTCAATCGAACATCTTCGAAGTCAATTTTAGCAACTGCAAAAGCCCATCGTGCGATCTCTCCTCTACCACGGATTGGAAAATAGTAAAGCTTGTAACCAGACATCTTTGTCTTCTCCCTCTTTTCTTCTTCCTCCTTGATTAGGACTGCACACCTCGAGTACCAGAGCACCACTTAGCTCGTTGAACATTTTATCAAGCTTATATGTTTTTACATGACTCAGCGTTTAGCTCATGCCCAGGCTCTGGACAGCCATCGCGGTCACTCCAAGTCACGCAAGCATGTCCTGCATAACTCTCCGTACACAGGGAAGAGTGTCACGGTGGTGTGTGAGGGCTGAAAAGACAGTTTGAGGAAAGCTGACAGAAACCCAAGGGGGGTATTACGAATTTCAAGTAATGGGGATTATCACAAGATTTTGGGGGTATGATTTCGGGATTTTTTTGGTTGGAAAATTTGGCAAGTATTTTCTTGAGGGGCGGCTTGATTAAGAAGGGATTTTATTTGGGGGTATCCAGAACAGTCTAAATATTCGTTGTAGTGCCCTTCTATCCCAGCCGTATAGTTCCGCGAATAAAGTAAAACCAAACTATAACTTGGTGTCTCGAGTGTTGTTAGAAAGACTATAACAGATGCAGAAAAGATAACTTTTAGATGGTATAACGAATAATGAACACAAACATTCAATGGAGGAGTTCACGCTCATAGTTGTCATGGGTAATTAGGGCAAGATGGCGGGAAATTCAAAGATTTGTATTGGAATTCAAAGCCAGCTAATTCTTCCTCAATTCATACCTTTGTTGCTTACTCTTTGAAAAAAGTAACTTTTTTAATACGAGTTTAAAGAAACAATTGACTAAATCTGGAGTGCAAAGAAGTCCGTGATCAGTTTTTACAAAACCTTCCCATACATTTTCTGTAATTTTGATACTGTGGAATTATAGAAAAAGTATGGGAAAATCAAGGTTTTCAATGAACTAAAAAAGAATTAGCTGGCTTTGAATTCCAATATAAATCTTTGAATTTCCCGCCATCTTGCCCTGATTGCCCATGATGCAACTCCTCTGTTTCTAATGTTGTTATTTTCCGTGCTATGTCATGTTATGCTTCCTGGAAATCCGGCATAGGATATTTGGGGGCTTAATTTTTGGTCCAAAGATGTTTTTGGGTTTTAAATTTAACCCCCCATTCGATTATCCCCGTCACTTGAATTGAAATACGGAGTAGCCCAGAGCTTAAGAGATTGTTTAACTAGAAAGGGCGCTTTTGAAGTTTTTCTCCAATAAAATGAGACCTTATTTTGCATGGGGTGAATCATTTCTTTTTAGAAAGACTGAGATAATTCTGACTGACTGAAGGAACTATTCTACATTAATGCCAGTCACGTCAAATATTATAAACATTATAACAGTTACTATAAAGTACGCACAAATTCGAGAAACATGGTTTATAAGAACCAGTAACCAGCAAATCTCAAATAATATTTATTCTATGCTCCTGTTCTAACTTTATTTGTACACAGTTGTGCCCACGTTAACATATGCCATAAGTAGATCGAATTTCGTATGACCTTGAAAAATGGTTTCTTTAAGTGTTCATTATTTGTTTCATCAGGCAACGGATGAAAAGATCAAAACATGGACTCTTTGTTTTCCCGCCAAAAAGAATCCTAATATAGAGAAGGCATTGTTCGATTGGCCAATCGTGCTGCAGTATGACGTCAAAGCGAAGTATCGATTGATTTCTAGAAAGTTCTAGCGTTAGCTTAACCAGCCAAAGACCAAACACGTTTGTATCCGTTCGATAAACCAATCACATCGCTCTATTTCCGTTCGTTTGTTGTTTCTGTATTGTTCGCGAGTTTTCATTTCAAGGTCATACGAAAATCGCTCTATCACATCGATAAGAGGCTTAGACGTCGGATGGAGGACGTTTTTCCACCCAAGCCTTTATTTCAGGCACGTCCAACACACGCTTGTAATGCCCATCTAACAGAGGAAACTTCTTGAATAACTCGTCGAGGTCTGGTGCTGGTTTACCATCATCTTTCTGTTTTTTCACCATCAAACTGAAGCTGTTAATGAATTCAACGAACGAAATGTCGGCATAGCTGAGCTGCAGAAAAAAAGAAAAGAGAATTGAGCTACTCGCTTAGCACAGAGTTCTTTTTGTTTTCTTTTGTTTTTTTTTTTAAATAACTTAGAGTGAACAAGGCCGAATGAAAAACTATAGCAAGTCGACCCATGAAAAGGAATCCGAGAACATTTTGCTGTTGGAATCTGGAATACAGCTCAAGGAATCCGGAATCCCACCAACGATTGGAATCCGGACAAAGACTGGCATCCAAAACCTGGAATCCAGAATCCACGGCGTGGAATCCAGATTCCAAGACTGTCTTGGATTCCTTTACGTATATGGGGCAATGCAGGAAAACAAGACTGAAAAAGGGCGTGTCACTTTTCCCAACAGGCGTCCAGCCTAGGCCTCCCGGTTACCAGTCCAGAAACTCTAACACTGAGCAACAGGAGACTCGTGGGAGCCAGGGAACATAATTAACATGGAAAAGAATGGAGAGGAGAAGTCGTTTTTCTCCCATATGCTCACTTACTTTGGCTCCGAGAAAGAACCCTTTGCCTTCGTCCTTACTTTTGAGAAGAGCTTCATATTTCTCAAGTCGAGTAGGAAGAGTTGTTTCCAAAAACTCCTTCATTTTCGTCTCCTTAAATAAAGATAATGGTTAAGTAGGTAGAAAATGATTAGATCTTACGACATTTTGCCAGTTATTATGATCAAAGTATCCACTGTGAAATGTTTGAACCCATGAGTCATTTCATAAGTGGGTGAAGCATGATCATCCGGGTGATCGTAGTCCTGAATATGATTGTTGTTGACAGCACTGGCGTTTCGACAATCTGTGCGGTAGTCAGTTATCTTCAGAGTCAAAGTGATTTGTATCATATTCTCAACGACTGTTATCTCATGTTACGATAGGGGTAGCCAGTATGTCACGCCATGTCTACAACAGTCCCACTTTGTATGGTGCCTGCTCTCCCGGCCTCTTCACCTTATGATTGGTGCGTACTATGAAACGTTTTTCACTTTTTTTCAAAACAAATAAATTAATTAATTAATAAGAAGAAAACTGATAATAAGTAAAAATAATAATACTAAAAACCGACCAAGAACAAATTACATCTTGATAAGTATTTTATTTACAAAGAAAAAGAAAAAGGGAAAAATGTTACCATCGTCTGAATGAAATACAAATCACCTGTATCACCCAACCCCTTAAGTTTTTCTTCTTTCTGGTGTGGTTTCCGAGCCGATTCATGGCCATTTAATGGCTTTTATTAAAACTGGTTTGCTAGCCTGCGTTGCAAGCATTTCCGCTCGAGTTATACAGGGTGCAGAGGGGTTATTTGTGTCCTTGATTGCAGTTAAATTTTCAGCTAAAAATAATGGGTGAAAGCCAGAACGAGAGCAATAACTCGAGCGGAAACGCTTCAGGATAGTGCTACGCAGGCGGCTGGTTTGCTATCTTTATAATCCTTTCACCTGTACTTAAACCCGTTTGAAAAAAGTGATTTATATTTCTGTCAACGAGAGTGGACGGTTATAGGCTACTTTTCTAGCTACACGTTAAGTCAATCGTACCTTTGCCGCTTCATCCTTCTCAAAGTGTGTTCTGAGCCAGAGATCACGCAAATCAGTAGCTCCATCATGGATCATGTCAGCAACTGCTTCGTCAAAACTGTCACTTGGAGACAAACCTGACAAGTTTATCAGAAATGGTCGGAAATCACGGTTTGGAAACGCGAGTATCAAGTACAGCAGAAGCCCCGGTCTACGGTCACCCGCTTAACAGAGAGGAGAAGGGTGCTATGCACATGTGTGTTCCTAAGCTGAATTTCAAATACGGTCGTTGCGCGTTTGAGGAGTAGGCAATGTCCCTGTTGGTATTCAACCCATCTTTAAATACCGTAAAATTCCGAAAATAATAAGCCTCTCCATGTATAAGCCCCTCCAAATATAAGCCCCTCCAATCCGGTAACGCAAAAAACCCTCAGTTAAATCGCCCTTCCGATATAAGCCCCCCTGGGGCTTGTACTTGAAAAATTGCCCTCAAAAACAAAGTGAAACAAAGCAAAAACGGTAAGTTTACTACCAACTATGAGGCTAACCCAATCGATTTTGAAACGCAAATTTCCCTCCGTACATAAGCCCCTCCGTACATAAACCCCTCCAAAAATAAGCCCCTCAAAAAGGGCCTTTGAAAAATGTAAGCCCTGGGGCTTGTTTTCGGAATTTTGCAGCATGCCGTTTGTCGCCAATTCATCTATTTTATGCACTGTTTCAAGGCCATGTCGCTTGTCAGGATTTTACCCTAACAGGGACTAACTGCAGCTGGGATGCGTTAAGCCGGAACAAACAAAAAAATTGCACACTGGATACATCCAGCTCTTTCTGCCCCTTAAGACAAAGCTCCACTACCGATGTTAGTTTTGATACCTGCTTTCTTCCAAATGTATTTCATAATGGCACCAGATTGTGCCAGGATTTTTCCTTCAGGAGTCACGAGAAATGGCATCTGACCAAGTGGTGGTCTGCCAGCTGAAAACAACAACAATTAACGACCAATCAGTTAATCAAACAATCAATCAAATACCTCCTGATATTTGATCGTGAGTAATGTATATGAAGCATAACCACTCGGCAGGCATGACAAAGCAGTTTGTTTCAGATGCGCGAGGAAGCATGACGCCAAGTGAAAGAATAGTCAACTCGACCTGATTAAATATGCACAGGCCAGCCACATAAATTTTATAACCATGTCAGGCGACATTTGTCACGAAACAAAGTGACCTGTCCACCAAGGAAAAGAAAGAAACAAGACTGTTCAATATACGTTTATCAAAAGGTTCCAAACGAAAACCATCATGCAATCGAACGAATCCGTTTTCGAAAACGATCACTGTCGCGAAACCGATAAAATTGTTGCATGCACAGCACGCGACTTTGCATGCAGTGTTCGCTTCATTTTCCATAACTTTTAATTCATTGTCACTGAGAACTCGACCAAATTCAGAAAACAACCAACTTGTTCTTATGTTCTACTTACACTCTTTTTCCTTGCGCCATTCTTCTCCAAAATTCACCCGAATGTCTTCGAAATCAATTTTAGCAGCTGAAAATGCCCATCTGTCTATTTCTCCTTTAGCACGGACTGGAAAATAGTACAGCTTGTAACCTGACATATTTCGTCTTTTTCTTTCTTTCTTCTTCTTCTTACTTCTAAGCACACCTGCACCGCGAGCCAAACGACTCCCTACCAGTAGTTTGACTCTGTCTGAATGATACGCTCCGGTCAGACGCCCCCGATACAACCCCCGATATGACTCAGCCATTTAACTTTGTACTCAGACTTCTGACGTCCATAAATGAAGGTGTCACGTCACTGCAAGTCACGCAGGTAACGGCAGAAAAAGCAAGGATGAAGCCATTTCTTCTATTGGGTTTGTCAATACTCTGGATACCGGAGACAAAGTGGGGGAAGGTCTCCAAAAAATTTTTTTCGGCCCTTTGATTAAAATAGAGAAGGCGTTTAAATTGATTTAATGAACCAATGTCACGGGGCAAGCTGTTCCAAAGGGTTGCACCGCTTTAACTAAAGCTACAAAGTTTCGTGTAGTTAGTTCTTGGAAAGGGGACAACGAGTTTGTTTACCGAGCCCCTCAGAAAATAGTTTGATTCATTTCGCTTTATATTTACATATTTAAAATGCTGTATAAAGGTGAACTCGACCGAGAAGCCTTTCTAACGATTTAAATACGGTATCCCCTCTTTCAGTTGGTGTAGCGGGGAATCGAAAGGGTTTCTCTTGATTACCATGCGAGCAGGGCCCTTCGATCTTCTCTGCTCGCGGGGCATCTCTTGACATCCCCAGATAATAAAAATATCTGCATGGTCCTCCACAAAAATAAAACAGCTGAAAATAAAAGTTTAATACATACCATTGAATATAAAATCCTTCAAAGCTGGTCCAACTTTCCCGAATAAGCGCCCGATCGCTCATTTCAAACTTCGGCCAGAGATCAGGGGCGCTTTTTTCGAAGAGTGTTTAACTAGGAAGAGCGCTTTTGAAGTTTTTCTCCAATAAAATGGGACCTTAATTTGGGGTAAATCATTTCTTTTTAGGACGACTGAGATAATTCTGACTGACTGCAAAAACTATTTTACCCCCCTTAAAGCCAGTGACGCCAAATATTATAAACATTATAACAGTTATTATAAAATACACACAAATTCGAGAAAACATGGTTTATAAGAACCAGTAACCGGTAAATCTCAAATAATATATATTCTAACTTTATTTGTAAACAGTTGTGCCTACGTTAACATATGCCATGAGTATCACATCGATAAGAGGCTTAGAGGTCGGACGCAGGTCGTTTTTCAACCCAGGCCTTTATTTCAGGCACGTCCAACACACGCTTGTAATGCCCATCTAACAGAGGAAATTTCTTGAATAACTCTTCGAAGTCTGGTGTTGGTTTGCCTTCATCTTTCTGCTTTTTCATCAACAAACTCAAGTTGTTAAAAAATTCAACGAACGAAATGTCGGCGTAGCTGAGCTAGAGAAAAGAAGAAAAGAGAAATGAATCATTCGCTTTAGTACAGAGAAGTTTTGTTTGAACAACTTTAACAGTGAGCGAGGTTGGATCAAAAACTATAATATGTCGCTCCATGTAATAGAATCCAGATTGAATCCGGAATTCGAGAATATTTTGCTTGTGGAATTAAAAATCCTGGGCTTTGGAATCCGGACTACAGCTCAAGGAATCCGTAATTCCACTAACGATTGGAATCCAGAATCCAAGTTCCACTGACAAAGACTTGAATCCGGTACCTGGAATCCAGAATCCACGGCGTGGAATCCAGAATCTAAGACTGTCTTGGATAGACTTTTTCACGTTTTTTTCTCAACTTTTGGCATGGAAAAAAGGGAAAATCCGTCGACACCACTGAAAAGAGCGCCTTAAGATTAGTAAAATTACCTAGTTTGAAAGTAATTTGTTGAAAACTAAGGAAGATATAGCTCATCAAAGCCGCAACATTTTACAGACGTTTGTATGGTGGGGGTACAAACATGCGCCCCCCCCCCCCCCC